GCTTGCGACTCATAGCGACCCTATGTATAAGAGCCCTAAATGCCATTCTATCCTGTGCCAACCTCGCTGTCTCAAACACATTCATTCCCACCACTCCACTCACAGAATCGATCCATCTCATCAAGGGTCTTCCTCTCCTGTGCCATCCCTCCACTCTCCCAAACATGATGTCCCTCTCCAAGGACCAGTCTCTCCTTGCAACATGCCCAAAGTATGTCAGATGAAGCCTCAGAATCCTTGAGTCCAGGGAACATTCTGGCTTCATCCTCTCCAGAACAAACCTGTTTGTTCTCCTAGCAGTCCATGGTATATTCAACACTCTTCTCCAGCACCACAACTCAAAGGCATCAATTCTCTATCATGCCATTTCACTGTCCAACTCTCCGATGCATAGCACGTAATTGCAAAGACTATAGCCTGAATCAGGGGCACCTTAGTCTCCAGCCTGACGTCGTTGCAATTCAATACTCTTGAGAGGTCCCTCACAGCTGACTTTCCCAATGCAATTCGTCTCTTGATTTCCTGGCTGCTGTTACCAAGAGTGTTGACTGTGGAACCAAGTAAATGAAAACTGTTAACTATCTCAATCTCTTCACCATCCATACTGATGCTGCCAGTTGGCCCAGTGGTAAGAATCTTTGTTTTCTTGATATTGAGCTTCAATCCATATTGAAGACTGCAGTCCTTGACTTTCTGCAGCAAGCGCTTCAGTTTCAGCGAGCAGGGTTGTGTCATCTGCATAATGCAGGTTGTTGATGATTCTTCCACCAATCCTGATGCCACATTCCTCCTTGTACAGCACAGCGTCTCAGATGATCTGTTCTGCATACAGATAGAAAAGGTATAGAGACAAAATACATCCCTGACGGACCCCTTTCTTGATTTTGAACCCTCCAGTGTCTCCCTGCTCTGTTCTGACAACTGCCTCTTGGTCCAAGTATAGGTTTCACATTAGCACAATCAAATGTTCTGGGATTCCCATTCTTCTCAGAGTCAGCCATGGCTTGTTGTGATCCACACAGTCAAAAGCCTTTGCATAGTCAATGAAGCACAGATAGACATTCTTCTGGTATTCTCTGCTTTCTGCCAAGATCCACCTTACATTAGCTATAATATCCCTGGTACCTCTTCTAAATCCAGGCTGCACATCTGGCAGTTCTCTGTTGACATATTGTTCCAAACGTTTTTGGATAATTTTCAGCAGAATCTTGCTTGCCCAATCATCAAGGACCATACACTGTGATTCCATTTTTATAAAATTTCTAGAATAGGAAAACCTACAGAGACTATAGGGAGCTCTGGTGGCCAAGTAGTAAGAAGCTGTGCTGCAATCTTGAAGGCACATGGTTTAAATCCACCAACTGCTCCACAGGAGAAAGACTGGCAATCTTCTTCCATGCAATTAGACTGCCTCTGATAACCTGCTGAAGGATCAGCTATAGGTCAGTTCCTACTTGATGGTACACAGCAAGAACACAGAGACTTAGGAGACTGAAGAAGAACCACTATCTTTGAACTGTGATTCTGGTGAAGATGTAAAATAAACAATGGCCTACCAAAAGAATAGACAGATTTATCTTAGAAGAAATACATCCAGGTTACTTCTTAGAAGCAAAGATGAGGCAAGCTCTGGTGGCCTAGTGGCAAGAAGCTGCACTGCAATCCCAGAGGTACAGGGTTCGAATCCACCAGATGCTCTGCTGGAGAAGGAGGGACAATCTCCTCCTGTACCTGTCAGATCCGATATGACGGTGTACATACACACACACACACATAAAATAATTTTTTTAAAAAAAGAAGCAAAGATTATGAGACTTCATTTCATATACGTTGGGCATGTTTTGGGAAGAGGCAGTCATTGCAAGTGGATATCATGCTTGGAAAGGTGGAAAATCAGAGGAGGGGAAGACCCTCAATGAGATGGAGTGACAGTGACTGCAACACTGGACTTGAACACAGTAGAGATTGTGATGCTGGCACAGCTTAGGGCAAGATTTCAATCTGTAATTCAAAGGGTGGCTATGAGTCAGAGTGGAATTGACAGCACCTAATAAAAGCATAGAGATTTAAAATAGATTAATTATTTCCTATGGTTGGATAACAGGAAAGTTAGAGAGTGGGTGATGATTAAAGGGTATGGGGTTTCTTTCTGGAATAATAAAATTTATGTTCATATTTATTTCAGTGATTATTTTAGTATATAATAGAAGTGTATGAAAAACTACTGAATTTTATACATCTTCAGTAGTGAAGTATGTGGATCCAATATTCCTAGTATGTCTTAATACAGCGGTCAACACAAAAATAAACTATTAGCATTTTATCTAGGTTTAAGGAAGAATATTTGAAAAATTATTTAAGATAAGCAAATGAAGGAAAGAACAGTTTAAAAGGAATATATGACTAGGCATTATTTGCATGACAATAGTCCATTATAAGAGATGCATAGGAAAGTGGACTGGGAGAGGGGTGAGGGGAGGAGAGAGAAATTATACAATGATGAACAATTTTATTTTTTTAAGTGAATTGAGGGGATAGGGATGGAAATGTGCAAAAATGATTGAATGAAAATCCAACTTTTCTGTAAACTTCTGTTAAAATCACACATAAAAATTGAAAAATATTATTTAAGATAAATAAATCAATTAGTATTTGTTTCTCTTTAAAAGCAGACAGATTTCCTATATTTAAGGTAATATTCCTTTCTGCGTATGGGATGAATTTAGATCCTTCTACCATCTTTCTTGAACTCAAGAAAATCATAGTACAAGAACACGGAGACCTTTTCTACCAAAGAGCTCTGAATATTAGTAAACAAAAAAAGGTGAACATAATAATTAGAAAGCAGATTGTATCCACTTTTCGGTGGCGGTCAGGATATTTACAGAGATGTTGTTGTTGTGCCATCAAGTCTACTACAACTTATAACGACACGTTTTTTAAGAGACATAAATGCAGGTTATACACATGTATCTCACCTGATGGTATGCACAGGAATCAGATCGATTACATCTGTGGAAAAAACCGCTGGAGAAGCTCAATATCAGCATGTGTGTAACCTGCATTTATGTCTCTTAAAAAACATGTTTGTGATGAATAAGTCATTTATTGTGCAAAATTCAATCATTCTATCTCCAGCTCCATTTCTGTCACTGAGTCCATGTTTTCTGACTACTGATTCTTCTTCTCTGTTCCCAAATTTTGCATTCCAGTCACCCATTACTGAAGAGCAATGGTGTCTCTCTGGAGACTAAGGTGTGTCTAAAACAGGCCATGGTCTTTGCAATCACTTGTTAAATGTCAGAGAGTTGGACAATGACTAGGGAGGATAGAAGGAGAATTGATGCCTTTGAGCTTTGGTGTTGGAGAAGACTATTGAGGGTACCATGGACTGCTAAGAAAACAAACAGATTCATCCTGGAGAGGGTTAAACCGGGCTGCTCCTTGGAGGCAAGGATTCTGAGGCTTTGTCTGATATACTTTGGTCATGTTGTAAGGAGAGACCGGTCCTTGGAGAAGGATATCATGCTTGGGAGGGTAGAGGGACAGTGCAGGAGGGGAAGGCCCTCTAGGACCTGGATTGATTCGGTGACTGGGGTAATCGGGATGAATGTGTTGGAGACAATGAGATTGGCACAGGACAGAACAGAGTTTAGGGCTGTTGTACATAGAGTTGCTATGAGTCGCAAGCGACTTGACGGCACATAACAACAACAACATATATATTCTGGGTTACATCATGGACCATGAAGAAAAATCCCAATAGACATTCCAATAATATGAGTCTTATCCCTCCACACAAACACTACAAAATTTTACCATTTCCTGCCCACTTCAGTAGTGTGTATACTAAAATTGGAATGATTCAGAGAAGATTAACATGGCCCCTGCTCAAGGATGACACACAGATTTGTGAAGCGCTCCATATGAAAAAAAAAAAAATCAATGTTTCTATATAAAGAGTGTGGCCAGCATGGAGGTGGCAGAGTCTGAACTCCAGTAACTCCACAAAGGGGAACAGTCCCCATTAACATTCACAGCTCAAACCCAAGCATTGCCAAAAGAACAAACAGGTCTGTCTTGGAGGAAGTACAACCAGAGTGCTCCTTAGAGTCAAGGGATGATGAAATGTTGTCTCACATACTCTGAGCATCTTGCCAGCAGGGGCCAGTCCTTACATTCAGGAAGGTGGAGGGTCAGAGGAAGACAGAAGATATCCAACAATATGGATTGACACAGTAACTATACCAAAAACCTTGAACCTATCAGAGATTATGAAGAGGATGCAGGAGAGGGCAAGGCTGTTCATATTGTTCAGATTGCTGTGAGTCATATGTGACTCTCTGGCTTCAAACAATAACAATATGGGACCAGATATTCCCCACACTTCTCGAATCTACATCTACCAATTCTAACATCAACTGTCCCTCCAAGGGCTCTTGATGCTCTGCTATTGGGCCCACTAGTGCATTGCAGTGGCCACACAGAGCTCACAGAATTATTCTTTATGGGGTTTACAGGAAAATTAATAGGTTACAATTCTGGTTGGAAACAAAACTCAGTTCTTGTCCCGTAGCTTCTTAGAAGTGCTTGAAGGCCCTTGACTTATAGCTTCACAGCTAAAGCTCTGTTACAAATCAGTGTTACAAAGGTCTTTTACAAGGGAGCTCTGGTGGCCTAGTGGCAAGATGCTGCACTGCAATCCCAGAAATATGCGGTTCAAATCCACCAGGTGCTCTGCTGGAGAAGGAGGGGGCAATCTCCTCCTGTACCAGTCAGATCTGATTTGACGGTACACGTAAAAATAATACAATAAAAATTAAAAAAAACAAACAACAACAACACACACACACACACACACAAACAAAAAAACCCCAAAGGTCTTTTACTCATGCCAATAATGACACCTTTCTCCCTGACCTTTCTTTCTCCAGAAAGGTTGGCCAAAGGTTTCTGCTCTGATTCTGTAGGGTAACAGCTTCAGGTCAACTCTGTCTCACCTCGGTCTCTGGTTTTCCACGGCTGCAGATCCATCTCTCACAGAAATCTTGGTGGCCCCAAAGGACAGGTGTGGCATTTTCTGCTCTTCTTTCTTACTGGTAGTGAGATTTCCCCTTTCTGATGCTAATTCTGCTCAATCTGAACTTGGCAGGATAGCAAAATCAATCCCTTCATGAGTAATTTACACACTTTGCCTATTCACACCCAGTCAAGTCACAAAGTCAAAGGCTAGTTATAAACCTGTTATTGTTATGTGCCATTGAGTCGTTTGCGATTCATAGCGACCCTATGTACAACAGCCTTGAAACCTGCTCTGTCCTCTGCCAACTTTACTGTCTCTGACACATCTACCCTCATTACCCCAGTCACCGTATCAATCCATCTCATTGATAGTCTCCCTTCTGTCATTCCATACTTCTAAGCATGATGTCCCTCTCCAAGGACCAGTCCCTCCCTGCAACATGCCCAAAGTACATCAGACGAAGCCTCAGCATCCTTGCTTCCAAGGAACAGCCTGATTTTACCCTCTCTAGGACGAACCTGTTTGTTCTGGCAGTCCATGGTATGTATATTCAATACTCTTCTCCAGCACCACAGCTCAAAGGCATCAATTCTCTATAATCCCTAGTCACTGTCCAGCTCTCTGACGCATAGCAAGCAAGACACAGTCTCACCTTAGTGTCTAGACTGACATTGTTGCTCTTCAGTACTCTAGGAAAGTAATTTTAAACAAAATGCACACTATACTTCAGTCAATCTCATATCTGGAAAATACTAGGGAACACTTTAAATATGTCAAGTTATAATGTTTTGTTCTAGCGACAGAAAGCATAATTTCTACCATTCATCAGCAATATATTTATATATTAAGTATCTTTATTAATGCCCCACAGATAAGATTTCCATAAAGTACCACCAAAGTATTAGTAGGCAAACGGAGAAGTGTAACGGAGTGCCACTAGATGGCGCCAGAGGCACTGAAGGGCCCGCCTGCTCCCAAAACCGCAGTGACAGGTACTCTGAAATCACCTTCTCCTGTGGTTCTTAATCCTGTATTACATCAGAATCACACAGAATGCTTGTTAAAAACAGGGTTGGTGGATATAACTTGTGCAAAATGAAAATTCAGGCCTCTTTCTACCCTGTCTAATTTCACTTATTCACCCATTGCCTTCGAGTCAGCTGACCCTCCAGTGGGGTTTTTTTTTTTTGGTTTTAAAAAATTTTTTTAAAAAATTGTATTATAGTTTAAGTGTACTGTCAAATCAGATCTGACTGGTACAGGAGGAGATTGCCCCCTCCTTCTCCAGCAGAGCATCTGGTGGATTTGAACTGCGTACCTCTGGGATTACAATGCAGCAGCTTGCCACTAGGCCACCAGAGATCCCTCTCCAGTGGGTTTTTTGAAGGCTGTGAACCTCAGGAGAAGAGAGATTGCCCATTTTTCTCCCGTGGAGCCGCTGGTGGATTTGAATCGCCAGAGAAGCTTTTGGCGTGTCAACTCAACAGGTTTGGTTTGTTTAGTATTGTTAAAAAAGTAGGAAAAGATGCCTTTCAACATACTAAAGTAGAAGCTTTTTCCCTGTCGTCTCTCTACTGGTCATGCATGATTTAAATTGGTTTTGTTTGTTTCGTTGATTTTTTTTTTCCATTTAAAGTTCAGGAGAGGGAGTTCTAGTAACTTAGTGGTAAAGAGTTGCACTGCCAACCCAAAGGTACTAGGTTCAAATCCACTTGCTGTTCCAACGGAGAAAGAGGGGCAATCTAAAAATCCCCTAGAGGGTCAGCTATGAGTGGGTTCCAACTCAACAGCACAAAACAGGAATAAAATTCAGAGTGCTCTCGTGGCCTAACAAGGAGTTGCATTGCTAACGCAAAGGCCTTTCCTCTGGCAGTTTGAATCTGCCAATGGCTTCTACGGAGAAAGATGGGCAATCTCTTCCTATGAGATTTACAGCCTCAGAAACCCGCTGGATGTCAGCTAAATCGGTTGCAACTTGACTGGCAATGATGAATTTAATGCTTTAAGAAAAAACGTGAAAATATAAATAATCAGTGGGGACTTTACTGTTCATTTTTATATTGTATAGTGCCAGTTTTTATACAAAGAGAAGAGCATTTAAATTGTATGCAAAATAACTCACATTACACAATTCATGTTTTGTAACTCATTCATGCATGTGTATTTCCTTTTGAGGAAGACAATGGAAAAGTTGCACACAATTAACTCAATCATTTTATTTACCTCCTGATACATGTCCACGTATCAACATAAATCTCCCTGAACTCCTGCATATCGTGGGTGCACTAGAGTACTGTGTTCACAGAAAATTGCAATTACTTTAAGTGAATGGCTAGCAAGAAATGGTAGTCGTATATATTGGGGGTATCTTTCCTGCTATGCACAACCTTCAGTGCTCCATCAGACTTCATCTGACACAAGTAAGACATAAGTTTAAAGACGACAATATTATGCTTCACATACAAAAGTTTATTCCCATTTAGGGGCCAAGAGCAGTGCGGGGTTGGAGGGCAGGAATCCACTCATGGACATCCTAGAGAGTCCAGATAACCTGGCTAAGATACTGTAGATCTTGCCAAAACTGTAGAAACTGCTCTGAAATGAGAGTTCTTGGCAAAATCAATAAAAAACTAAACCTGATGCCATCAAGTTACAATTCATAGTGACTCTCTAGGACAGAGAAGAAATATTTCTGAGGCTGAAAATTGAAATAAGAGGAGATTGCCCATCTTTCTCCCTTAGGGACACCGGTGGATTTGAACTGCCAATGAGAAACATGCAGCATTTGGGTTAACAGCACAATTCCATAAGGGACTAGGCCACCAAAGGCTTTTTGAGGGTATGATTAAATGCCTGAAAAACTTAATTAACTGGATTATTACTTGAACCACCACAACAACAATAACAACTAGTAGAGTAAGAGAATTCAATAAGGTAGCAGATTGTAAAACTAAATATACAGAAATAAAAATAGTTTGTAGATACAAATAAGTAATCAGCTGGAAGATAAGTTTAAGAAGAAAATTCCTTAATTCGTTTTTATAATAGCAACACAAAAGAAGAAATAATACTTGGAAATTAAAGACACAAAACCTTTTTAATAAAAAAATCAAAACATTTTTTAAAATAAAAATGTATTTGTCAACAAATAAAAGTTACTCCAGGGTGCAGTTATTGTTGTATATCATTGAATTAGAATGGATTCCTAGCTGACCCTCCTGCAGATTTACAGAGGCAGTAAATCACACAGGAGGGAATTGTCCATATTTCTCCCATGAAGCACCTGGTAGACTCAAGCTGCCTATCTTTTGGTTGGCAGCATTACTTCTTACCACTAAGCCACCAGAGTTCCCTATGTCAGGGATAAGAAAGCTAAGCAATTATCCTTAAATTAAGGTCAGCAGTTCAAATCCACTAGCTGTTCTTAGGGGTCAAGATGAACAATTTGCTATTTTTCAATGGCTTCTGATTTTCCATTTATTTTGTATTTATTTTTTTATTCTCCTGGAGTCTTGTATATGTTTCTGCTTCTTCTAGAGTTTTGTGTATGTTTTTCTGTATTTTGTTTGTGGTTCCCTCAAACTTTTTATCAATCTTATTGAGACACCTATCATTCTTTTGAATTCCTTATCAAGAAAGTATTTTGGTCACTTTTTTGTTTCATCTTGTCCCATTTGGGCTTTATTTGTTTTCCCCGGTTTAAAGTTACATGCTACCTCAAGACATTGTGGTACTGTTGTCTTTACATTACATTATTTTGTTTGAACCCCAGTAGCTAGAAATCATGCCTTTGCCAATTCCAGAGATGCATGTAGGCAGGGTATCCAATGAGAGATGGCTAGGGCGAAGAAATAGTCACTGCTAACCCAAGGATGAGAAGCGCACTCTGCTGAGGGTGCCCTGCTCCAAAAGAGGCTGTGGCATGTGCCAGGCAGAGTATATCTACAAGGGTATCAGTGAGAGGCAAGGGCTCTAGTTAGAGATGGTTCCTTCACTAATCCAGGGCTGTATGCAGGCCAGACATAACACTGTCCACAGGCTCCAGGAGGGTGTCTGTGTCTGTAGAGCTGTGTAAACACTTCTAAGGCCAGATACAATAGAAACGAGTCTGACTTAAGCTAGAGCTGGCTAACCACCTAGATTCCTTTACAGAGACTAGAAAAGGAAATGAATAACAGTTTCTGAATACAAACTGAACTTCTATGTATAAGTGATGTATATTTATTGCCTTTGGCATTCTAGGTAATTTGAATCTTCAAGTATTATTAAACATTTTCTTGGAGACTAATCAACATCTCCACTCACTCACTCCATTTCTTTGTGCTGTTTAGTACAAGCTTTAAGATCACTTTTGAACACTGCTTCCAGGAAGCCAGCAGCTAGTGGACTTGATATTTTTCCTCTCAATTTAGTCAGTGCAAGAGCAGCTTTTGTGGATAATCTTCTTGCATGGGTGGCAACATCTTTTTAATCTAAAATATTTCCCAGGGAAGTGTGTTCATAAATAGACTTGCTGCTGCAGCTAGTGGAGGCGTCTTGCCTTGTAATTAGGCTTTCTTGGTGTAGCACAATGAGTTACATGATTTTGTATGTGCACAAGTCAAAGTGCACATGACACGCGTGGGTGAGCATGCAGCCAACTTGTCAGTGATGGTTCCAGCAAGGAGTTCGTGCTTCAGATAGAAGGAAATACATTTTTTACCAGCTCAGAATTCACATAGTTCAACTCTTACAGAAAGTTTTACATTTTCCTACCATTTCCTAAGTCCTGGGCAGTGTCACATAGAGTTACCCTTTTAAATAAATTTATTTGATTGTCCTGCTTTTGTGGTCAGCCTTTAACTGGTGGCAAAGACCATTGGCTGCTCTTTGACAAAGAACACAGATATGATGAGGTAAAATGGAGTCTTACTTGGTTTTCAAAGATTATGAAATTATTATCATATTTCAGTTAAACAAAGAAACTTGCCAATTTTAAAACACTGGAAGAATTAAATAAAACCAATTTTATAGATATGTATAGAATACTAGAAATGGAACTGAAAATTGAATTA